CTCACACCCTGCAGCCGTGAGGGCACCAGGAGTGTCCACGCAGTCCCCAGCCAGTGTGGTCCCCTGCAGCAATGCATCCGTCTGCGCCTGTCCGGGACTGTCCCCAGGCGTCGCAGCAGCACAGCCCTTGCCCGGCACCTCCCCAGCTTGGGGAAGTTCAAGACCCCCGCGTACCAGGACTGCTGCGGTCCTCCTCTGATCCCCCCACCAGGGCTGGGGCTTTGCCTGGCTGCCTCCTCCCTTATCTCAGTCCTGTTGGCTGGCTGGCCATGCCTTCATGGATTTCAGTCCCATTTCTGCACTGTTGTCCCCTAAAGGCACCTCCCCACCTTGGGGAAGTTCAAGACCCCCGCGTACCAGGACTGCTGCGGTCCTCCTCTGATCCCCCCACCAGGGCTGGGGCTTTGCCTGGCTGCCTCCTCCCTTATCTCAGTCCTGTTGGCTGGCTGGCCATGCCTTCATGGATTTCAGTCCCATTTCTGCACTGTTGTCCCCTAAAACTGTCTCCACACATTTTTTTTCTCTGAACAAACACTTCTGCATCGGACAGCAGCCAAAGGGGGCCAGGTCTGGAAACATGCCAGGGAGCCTGTGTTGGGGCATGTCCCCCATCCACGCACAGAGGAGCCCTGCAAATGCCCTGTGTGCAGGTCGGGGCCCCTCGCCACTGGCACTGCCAGCAGCCCCCCGAGAGCAGTGCCGAGCCCCACTGCTCTCCACGGAGCAGAGCATCCACCAACACATCCCGGGACGGTCCGCACAGTGCTGCCGGCGCGGGCTGGGACCGCCGACATGAGTTGCGTTGCACATTCCTCTGCCTATGGAAATCTGATCCACCACTCCCAGCTGGGGAAACATGCCTGGCACCACCAGCACCACCGGCCTGTGTCAGACGCATCCAGAGCCCCAGGCAATGACTCTGGCCTGGGAAGCAAAGACAACAGGCGCGGGGTGGCCAGGACACACGCGCAAACTGTTTGCACAGCCATGCAAACAATGGCAATGCAGCTTCATCGGGGCTGGACCCAGGGATGGGGGTGGCACAATAGCCAGAGGCATAGATCCGGAGCACCTGGGTGGGGGCACAGGGCCCAAGTGAGACTGCAGCATCCTCAGGGAGATGTGGTGCAGAGGGGGGATGCCCTGGGAGAGCCTCCACGGCTCGCAGCCTGTGCCGGGGCTGGGAGAGAAACACCACATGGGTGCAAGCACATGCTTTGCTGCACGAAGAGCTCCTGGGGCAGCAAGTGAGCAGGCAGCGGTGGGAGAGCAGGGCTGGAGGCT